AAAAAAACACCCTAGTGCATATTACTGCTGACTGTGTGGTATTCGTTACTGGGTAGGTGCTGACTCACCTAGGTTCACCTCCAGTCCAGCAGCAGAAAAGGACTATCTGAAGATGAGAAAGTTGTAACAGACTTGCCAAAATAGTTCCTTGTAAATATTTTTGCATAGTTACTGAGGTAGCAGATTTTGTGCTGCAGTTGGGGTTAGAGAAGAGGATAAATGTAAATTAAGAAATGGAACCTAAGTCCCTGATTTTGATTTTATAACATGAAAAGAAACTGTACATAAGGTGTTCTGAAATTCTTGCAGAATTTGCTAGAGGGAGCAATCTTACCCTGCAAAGCATTTGACTAAAATAGAGTTCACTGTAAAAAATTACTTCCACTTACTGCCCAATTTACTAGGTGAAATTATAAAATAACCAGCTCCTTGATTTTACTCCTGTTACAGAGCTAACGTGCCACAGAGAGAGACTTCAGGGTTGTTGTTTTATTCATTATTATACAACAGTATCTAGAAATTCTAGCCACATTCAGAATGCAGTTATGTAAATCTTTAAGGACATTCTGTTCCCTGAATTGTTTGCAGCATCTTATACACACACAAAAAAAAAAAAAAAAAAAAGCACAGGGGAAAAAATTGAAATAAAAAAAAAAATTAAACATTGAAAGTTAAGGAACAGACTAAAGAGGATAGACATCACTGTCATAGCTTTAATTCCAAGAAGTCACAAGACATGTTTAGAAAAGAATAAAACAACTTAAATACAACTGTGGCATTTAAGTTCTTCCTAATTTAAAAATTGTGAGACTACAGAATCCCAGTTAGTGGCCTTGGAGGAACCAGAACTCCACAAGTATTTCATTTTGTGACAGTGAAGCTCCTCAGGTACACACAGTCCTGCTCCTGTCCATACTGGACATCTGGCCAATAGACTCAAAGAATCATGGAATCAAAGAAGGACTTAGGTGCGAGGGGACCTGTGGAGGTCTCTAGTTCAACACCCTGGTCCCAGCACAGCTAGCTCCAGAGCTAGATCAGGGTGTCCACAGCCTTGTTCAGGCAACTTGTGAACATCTCCAAGGAAGAAGACCTCAGGACACCTGTTCCAGTGCTGAACCACCCTTGTGAGAAGAAGTGTTTTCTTCTTTATGGCAAATTAGAATTTTCTTTGACGCAAATGTTGTGACTATTTGGCTGTGCCCCTCTGAAGGGACTCTTGGCTCTGTTGTCTCTGTAGCACCCCATCAGCTAGCAAAAATAATGTTAGGTCCCCATTTGTCTTCCTCTTCACCAGGCTGAACAAATTTAACTCCTTCAGCCTATCCTTGGATGTCAATGTGCTCCTCTTGACCTTGTCATCTCTTGTATGGGGGACTGTGGACACTGTGTTCCAGATGTGGCATCATGTGTGACAGAAAAAGTGGAATAATCACCTCCCTTCACCTGCTGGCCACATTCTTGCTGTTGCAGCCCAGAATGTGGTTGGTCTCTATTGCCTCTTCCTGGCTTCTGTTCATCTTGCCGTCCACTGGAAGCCCAAGTTCTTTTCTATAGAGCTGCTCCTCACACAGTTCCCAGGCTGGACCGATGCATGGGGTAGTCTTGTCCCAGAGTGACTTATAAAATACCATAGAAGAATATTTTGAAACGTAGACTTCCTCTAAACCACATCCTGGGAAAAATCTTAAGGTACCATATTTACACGTTTCTTCCAAGCTGGGTAAAGAGAAAGTTCCATTTTAGCAGATAAAAATCTCGACTTTGCCTCTCTTTTCTACTTACATAAGCCTACAGATCTCTTTAATGATTTCAGTGTATAAGGCCAGGAATTAATGTAACAATGGTAATAAAAATAAATTGGTCCCAAATAATCTCAGTCCTATCCACTGCTGAATAGTGATTTCACCCAAGTCAGTAAGAAATAATGGATTATCTGAACTGGTGAAAACTGCACACACAGTTCTACAGATGGGCTTAAAGGTTTTATATCGGTTTTGCTTTGCCTTTAAGTGTAAATTTGGTTTAAGCTTACTTAAGGACCCACAGATTTATTTTGATTTAAGAAGAGCAGCAATGTATTGTGTTAATTAAATCCTTGCCATTTCGGGTACAGACCAGCCCAATGAATAATCAGCTCCTTTCAACTGCTTCAGTGAAAAGAGCAAGAGCCCTCTAGAAGGATGTTAGACACTGCCTTCCCCCAAAGGTGCAATTACATCCTGTTGCTTGATTTACATAAAAACTGCAAACCCTTTTTCCTTGGGAGGAATGGAACTGCCTGTCATTCACGCAGGGAGGGCAGAGGCATCAGGGAAGAGGAAAAACCTTTGTGTCGTATAGTATATAAGGAACTGGCTCCAGCAGAAGAGAAGAGAGGATGATTATGAAATGCTGAAAGAAAACACTGGCTCTAGGGACACTCACAGCCAGAGGCACCCAAGACCAGACAAAAAAACAGAATCTCAGCCCAGACTGAAACTGTGCACATCATCAAGAGGAAGAAGTCTCTACTTCCTTACCTCCTGACCCACAGATGGTATGTTGTCACTGAAATGATCAGCTGCAAATGAAAGGAAGGGAACCCCCTTTTTCTTCCCCGCTCTTTAGCTTTGTTGTGTTTAGTGGAATCATAGAATCCTTTAGGTTGGAAGAGACCTCTAAGATCATCAAGTCCAACCATTGAGCCATTAGGGCTCTAAAGTCCTCTGCTAAAACAGAATCCTCTTAAAGTCTCAGTACGGCTTTCAGTGATGACCTGTGATAGGACAAGGGGTAATGGGTGCAAATTGGAGCATAGGAGGTTCAAGGTGAATATCAGGAAAAATTTTTTTCCTGTGAGGGTGACAGAGCACTGGAACAGGCTGCCCAGAGAGGTTGTGGAGTCTCCTTCACTGGAGACATTCAAATCCCCCTTGGATGCCTTCCTGTGTGATGTACTCTAGGTGACCCTGCTTTGGCAGGGGGGATTGGACTAGATGATCTTTCGAGGTCCCTTCCAACCCTTATAATTCTATGATTCTATGATACTTGGAGTGAGGGGAGCACCAGCTGATCCCCAATGATGGCATCCGCAGTCTTGAGATCATGTATCAACCACTACTCCTGCTTTCTGTGAAGATCTACTCCTTGCATACAGTGTCCAGAAAGCTTTGTAGTCAGACTGTTTAGAATAGACGTTGGGGAGGTCCTGCAGCAGCAATAGGTGGCTGTAGGAGTCAGCCATGTCTTTATAACCAGTTGGAACAGTCTAGCAGTAGTCTTGTTGAGTTACCTGGTTCTGCAGGACCATTGTTGTCTACATTCTCCAAGGAGCCCTTCTTGGTCTTCACTGACCTTACATTTTTTTGTCTTGGAGCTTACAGTAAAGTTTCTTCCTAACTTAGCAATTTTGCTGATCTGTGTTCTAAAGCACAGAGATTTAACTCCCAGTTTTGCACCTGAGGTCACAAAACTGCCGATGTTTACGTTATTCACCTTTGTCTCCAAATGTTTTGAATCCAGCTGAGATATTGGACCATAAGGAAACCTTGGGGCAGCAGGGTCCAGTGATTGCAGTGGCAAAAATAAAGGTAAAGGTGTGCAGGCTTATTGGATTCACCTGCTTAACTTTATTTATTGTTTCCTTCTGAAACTCTTTTGAGATGTCTTCCTTCCAGGAAAATCCCTGTCTCCACTAATAATTTTTTTCCATCAACTTCCCATTCCTTCCATATGCTCTTGATGGCATTGGAATATTTAATGTAATTTTCCAGCTTCTTTCATATTTAAATATTGGTGGGTTTTTGAAGTAAGCAAAAGCCTTCAAGCAATCTCTGCTTTTATTCCTGGTTTAGAGTTAAGTGTAGAAAGAGTTGGAATTATTCCTTGTAGTAAATATTGTGTTACATGATGAACAATTGGCACTGTTCACCTGTGACCAGTATATGTAATTTATTATTATACAGCTCTCTACATCCCTATCTTCTCTAGATCTTTCCATCTTGAACAGCTTTGCATCACTCCTCACTTTTAGGAACTTTCCATTTTTCCTGCGACAAGCAAGATCTCATTCTAAGTCCAATATACTAGCTTTGTATTTTCCTTAAAAAAAAATGTTACACAGAACACATTGCCATGGCCATCTTTAGTGTTGGGTTTGGAAACTTATTTACTTTAAATCTGATACCACAGGGCTGAGGCAGCATGGCTCAGCATAAAGACGCAAGCAGCCAAAATGTCAGCTCTAATTCTGAAATCCCTGTGTCTAATCACTGACCCCTTCCATTTGAAGCTCTGTTGCCACATGAACTTCAAGGAGGATCCATTGTGAGAAAGGGAGAAGCCAGTCAGTGAACACATCAAATTCCCATTGATTTAAGTCACATTGCAGAATAGGAGCTGCAGCTCACTGTCTGGTTGTCCAAGTGCATATCTGGCACAGGTGTAGAGAACGACAGTATTGGTGTGAACAGAGAATGAATGAGTCTGCCTGGGAGTGAAAACACCAGAAGATGCAGTAGCAGAACGTCTGCAAGACCTAGGTGTTGATGGTCATCAGAATCCCAACACATCTATCTGCAGCTTCTTAGATACTCAGATCAGGAGGGAAAGTTCAAAAAAGCAGGACAGGACAGAGAGACTAATCAGTGTCAGCTACCTAACGCACATTCAAAACCTGCACATGGTCACCAACCTTAGAACAACTGAGGAGTGATGAAGACCCAACAGCTGACATTCCTTCTCACCAGTGTCATGGCAAAGCATCCTAGGCAGATCATTTGGGCACAAGAACCTTGGTGGTTGTGAGAATATTGGTCTGAGAGTGTGCTGAATGTAACTGAGTGAAATCAGTTTTGGTTTTAAATGAAATCACCTTCCTCCCCACACAATAATCTTTGCTACACTGGTTCTACAGTGCTGCAACATTATTTCCTATATGGAATCGATTGACAGCCATCAAGTCAAATTGAACTGTTTCCCTTCTGTTTTTCTCCCTGTAGATACCATGTGAAGGATGCATGGAGCGGGATAATAAGAGCACTGATGCAACCATGGAGTTCCTCCTGCTCGGCTTCTCCGAGCTGCTCTGTCTGCGGGTCCTCCTCTTCCTTATCTTTCTCGTTGTCCATTTGGTCACATTGGCAGGGAATGTGATGATCTTCATGGCAGTGGTTATGGAGCCTTCCCGTCCTCCCATGCTCTTCTTCCTCTGTCAGCTCTCCGTCATCGAGCTCTGCTATACCTTGGTCATTGTCCCTAAGGCACTGTTCAGCCTGATGGTGGGCGGTATCACCATCTCTTTCCTCGGCTGTGCCGCACAGATGCACCTTTTTGTGGCACTCGGGGGAGCCGAATGCTTCCTCCTGGTAGCCATGTCCTACGACCGCTACGTTGCCATCTGCCAGCCGCTGCGCTACGCGGCCGTGATGAGCGAAGGCTTCTGCCTCAGGCTGGCTCTGGCATGCTGTCTGGGAGCCTTTGCTGTTGCCCTGGGGTTGACGGTGGCTGTTTTCCGCTTACCGTTCTGTCAGTCTCATCGTATCAACCACTTCTTCTGTGACGTCTCTGCTGTGCTGTACCTGGCCTGTACACAGAGTTACAGCCCTGAGCTGCCCTTGCTAGCTGCCTGCGTGCTCATCCTGCTGCTCCCCTTCCTCCTAATCCTGACCTCATACGTTTACATCGCTGCTGCTTTGTTACATGTCACCTCCCCTGTGGGAAGAGGCAAGGCCTTTTCCACCTGCATTTCACACCTGGCCATCACCTTCCTACACTACGGATGTGCCACCTTCATGTACATTCGTCCTAAGTCCAGCTATTCGCCAGCTCGAGACAAGATGGTGTCTCTGGTCTACACCAGCATTACTCCACTACTGTATCCCCTCATTTATAGCCTGAGGAACAAGGAAATCAGAGGGGTCCTCAGGAAAATGTTGAGCAGGAAGAAAATAGCTCAGCTGAACCAAGATACTATCAGAGATGTGATATGCGTGTGTGGTAAATTTTCGTAGCACAAACATGCTTGTTGTAAACAGTCCCATATCCATGTTAGGACCAGATTCTCCATAGACTTCACCACAGCAAGTATTCAGGCAGAATTCAATTCACAACAATACATTTATGCCAAAAATATGTCTGTGCTAAAAAAAAAAAGCAACCCCAAAAATAGTCTCTAATGTGACACTACCTAGAGGAAATTGTTTAATGTCTTGTGAGGAAGGAGAGCTTTGATCAATGTATGGTCTCATTTCTGTGATTACATACACATTCGTGCTTACATTCACGATCATCTCAGCACAATCAAAAGATCAACAGAAAATTATTTAAAGCTTCTTGTATTGGTTTCGTTATTTTTCATTCGATATGAAAGTAGAAGCTGGAAACAAAAGAAATTTAGACTGGTAAGCTTATCAGCACAAAAACCAAAAAAAAATCTGAAAAGGGTTATTGGAAGGTTGGAAGGAGAAACCCCATGCCTAGGAATAAATGGAAATTAAGCCATGGTCTTCCCCAAATTTAGCAGAAGGCTGCAGTCCAGCATCCCATCACAAGTGCAAAACTTAGTAGTGTAAATTCATCTTACTCTGAAACATAATAATGAAAATGAACGTGCCATCCATTTGACAAGAGTATGACTTTGCTACATGCATTTTGCAGGAAGCAATCCTTCCTTTCGTGGGAAGGTGCTTTAGGTTTCGATCGTTCCTATGGCAACGTAAAGGCTAAGATACTGATCTTACATGATTTTTATCAGGAAAGACTGTATCATATAAATAAAGATGCCTGAGGAGTGTTGAAACCCTAAGATTAATAATACCACTGCTACAGTTATTGTAATTTCTTTAATAAAGCCAGTGAGAGTTCCAGCACATACTGGATTGCAGCAGACATAAGAGCCTGAAAGGTGCAAAGCACTGTTAGTTTGTGTTTCCTACATGTAGAAGCAACAGGATAATTCAGACAAATTAGCAAAGAACAGCTGTGGACAGGAGTAGGAGAAAAAGAAGCAACTTCATTGTTTTATTTAATACTTCCCTCCCCGACGGCTCTTGAAAGCCTCAAACAGACCCTATGGTTCCGAACCCACCTCTTGCATATCAAATTGTTGAGACAAAAAATGAAAAGGCTTGCTTCTGTTTCTGTCTAATCCAAAGGAATTTCAGCTTCCCAGATGCCCTCAGCTCTGTCCCTTGGCAGACAGAGAGCAGACTGATTTTTGCTTTCTCTGGTCTACAGTCATTTAAAGGTAAGGTAAGTGGATGTGACTAATGTCAAAAATTGGCACTGTAGCTGAGGAAGTGAACTTAGAGCCATCTGATGGAAGTGAAATGTGGAATTTAAAACTCACATTAAAAGATGTCTTCAAGTTGACAGTCTGGCCAGCATAAAACATTAACACAGAACATTTGCTCCCATGTCAATTAATACCTAATTACTGCTGTGAGCAAATCTTTAACTGCATTATTTAAAGTTATCAAAGTTGTAAACATTTTAACCACCTGCTAGGTCTTCCAAAAATAAGAAGGGGATGTTATCAATAAAACCACATTGCTAACTAATAGAGAAGTACTTTAGAAATATATTAGAGAAGCACTTGGAAGCAAGCAATATTAAAAGTTTTAAAGACAGTAAATAACTGCAATGAGTGTAGGACAGATGAATGGAGATGAGTGGAGTGAAGACATGTCCTAGAACCCAAGTCTGTCCCCCATTCTATCCCCATCAGTATTCCCACACCCCTTCACAGCATCCTTGGCCTCTCTCCTGTGCCAAGCTGGGTTGAGTGTACAGAACTTGCTGTACAGAACTGTAGAGAGGACTCAAGAATGAGAGTGAGAAGATGGAAACTTATGAGGTAAGAGAAGCAACAATATGTCAGAACCAGTCTATTTTGAAATGTTACCTTCCACTCACCAGGAGCTGGCTGAGGTCCTTTTTCCACCCACTCCTACCCACCCTTAGAAGTGGCTGCTTCAGTCCTCTTGACCCAGTACACTGTATGCTGACAGCTGGAGAGTGCTCAAGTGAAGTAAGACAGCAACATCCCCGATGTAGGGCATGAGCACAGGAAAAAAAAGAGAATTTTGACATCCTTTTCAGAACTCCACAGGTGTCTACATTTGGTCCATATCCAGGGCTATACTACAGAATTTGCTCTATCAACCAATGAGAAGAGAAATTCCATTCCTCTGCTGGGAAATCCTACCCAGCAGAGAAGAGGAATTAGGAAGAGAAGACCAATGGATTCATACAAAAAACTGAAGCAAAACTAATATTAACACTAATGCAAATATGAAGTATTGAAGTGCTGGAGTTAAACCCCCAGCCCTGAATGAGGGTTGGCATATGGATGACGTTCACAACCAGGCAAGAAAGACCCTCCTGATTGGTTTTCACCCAGGGCCTGGCCAGCCTTGGGTGGGAACTGATTAGGAGATCACCACCAGGTGCCCCCACCTTCCACATTAACTTGAGGCGGGACAAGAAGTCAATTATATAAGAATTGACCCTGCTTGTAGTGGGGCTAGGAGGTTTGTCTACCCAGTGCATGAGCTGTAGCTAGGAGGTTTGTCTACCCAGTGCATGGGCTGTATGGGGATTCTGGTTATTGTAAAGGGCTCCCTGGCTCTTTGTAGCAAGTGGAATTCCCGGGATTTCAGAGCAAGATTGTGAATTTCTATCTGGGAACCTCCTACATAGCTGGATTTATTGTCTGGGTGGTTCCATTGCCCATGGCTTGGTTCCTTGGCCAGCTTGCTTCCATCTTCACATCCTTTGCGGTGGGTAAGTGTGCTGACTTGTTCCTCCTTCCAGCTGTCTGGCACTTTGGATCTCTGGTGTATCATTTGGTAGTGGAGGGAGGAGTTTGGTTGCTGGTCTGCCTGTTAATGATAATACCATTTTATGCTGGGCAAGCAGGCAGCATCAGAAGTAGACAAAGTTATACTCAAGCCAGTGAATGTGCAGCAGTCACAGTAAGCAGGAAGGCATTCCTCAGGAGCAGAACAGTAAGCAAGCCCCTCCAGGGATGGAGAGGAGCAGGAGGAAGTCCCATCCTTGGCAAACCTCCCCCTTTATAATGAGTGTGATGTTTATGGTATGGGATATACATGGGAGCTAAATTGGGTCAGCTGTCCTGACTGACCTGAACTGCTAATGGCTTGCATACCATGGCTGGCATGTCCCAGCAAAACCAGAACAGTATTTCATACCTTAGTCCATGTTGTTTACATCACACCTGAGTTGCTACTAATTTTTCCCCATCCTACAAGGCATGTGTACATATATAGACACAGGTATTTGTCCCTTGGTCCATGAGTCATTTCTCCAAAAAGATTATTGAATTAATTTAGTCCAAAACTGGGTTCCATCTGTCAGACAAGTGAAGCTGGGGGCAGCAGGATGATGTGCTGTGTATCTGGAGCTTCGAGAAGGCATCTGTGGTGAAGAAGCTGGTCTTGGGGAAATTACTGGGTGTCAGTTGCTGAGATCCATTCTTCATTAATCTTGGTGATTCTTACTGTAATAAGTGATAAAACACACATGACTCAAAACTACTAATGTATACCATGGTTCTGCCCCTGAGAAACCAGAACAACAGGGAACAGCAAGAGCCAGTCAGGCAGTAAAGAGTTAGACAACTGCATATTCCACCTCCAGGCAAAGATGGATAGGGCAAAGAACTTTCCATGTGTATTGTAATTGTTTTGGTTGGGTAGGGTCTCAAGACCCCACAGTGTATGACTACAGCTGGGCATCTGCAGTCCACAAATGGAATGTCTATGTCCCCAGATGTGCGGGGGCCTGAGATCTGGAAGACATAGGTGTCACAAAGGTTTGCAATGAAACCAGCTAAGACTTCTCAAAGAATCTCTTTCATGGTTTATAGAGCCATAAAAACAGAGTATTCATCCTTGCAATCAATTTTGTAAAGGCTGCCCTGATCAAGGCACTGGTAAGAGCACAGATCTCATCAGTCATTGAGCACCAGAGCTCAACCTGTAAGACCACACCAGTCCTGTCTATGTGCTCAGAAATGAAGAGAGTTTGGAGGATGATGGCAGAGACGGTGAATAACATTCAGGGTACTCAAGGTCTGGTATCTTGAATGGTACATACCATTCAAAGAGGTACCTCGACTCAGGGAGATACTTCAAGGTGGTATCAGTACCACTGACACCAGTGAAATCTCCTTTTTACTGTAGAGAAAGCAGTGAAAGTTCCTTTTTTTTCTCTTCAGTGCCATGTTTTGCTGGCAATCCAGGTAAGACACTTCCTAAAAGAAATAAATGCACTTGCATTAAAAATATTTCCTTAATTTTCTAGGAGTCTGAATACAAAAAGTTTACTAAGGGGATGTGTTTCTGTTACAGGTTAGGAAAGCTGAAATTCTTCTGGAAGTCCAATTTTAGGACCACGGAAGAAGTTTCAATGTATTCACCTCCCCTTGATAAAGTCATGCTATCATAGCCTATCCATTTCAGCTTACATGAAAGTGAGTCCACTAGCCTCCTTTCTTTTTGATTCTTCAAAAGCTTAGAAAAGCTGCAGATAATCATTCCAGAAAATAGATTTTTTTTTTTTTGTCCTTTGATCTGAAGCAGAAGGAAAGCATCAAGGTGAAATTAATGTAGCTGTTTACAATAATGGAGTAGTAGCCAGTGAAAAAAATGCATGTGGGGATAGGATTAAACCTAAAAAGCAGACTTGAATATCATGAGGGTTAAAAGCTGTCAAAGATGGTGGTTTACTTTATTGAGAAAAGGCCCCTGTTTTCCTTACATTTGTCATTCAATGTATCAAGGACAATAGCTATACTGACTTTACTATGATACAAACTAGTATGCTATAGGAGATTCTCTAGAAGATATTTGTAGATAGAAGATTTACAGAAGAGAGCTGAGTCCTTCCTGAGATTGTTTTGTGCCATTATATGAAATTACTTACCCAGCATATGAAATCTGATAGGATCCCATATATTACAATATTAAGTCCACACCCCTTTAATACT